ACGATGCTTTACTCTCAAATGTTTTATGCGTATAAGTCTAATTTGCATCTGAAACATATTTACTGTAGATGTTTGATGGCAAAGGGGTCATTCAGAAGCCAGGCTACAGTGTTTGAATTCAATCTATTTGATTCATTAAAAAGAACCTGTTCATGAGTCTTTTGATAAAGTGTTTTTCAAGAATCCGATGACACCAGTAGCGCTTTGTTTGATTAACTCACTAAAAAGAACCACTCTGAAAAAACAAACCAGCCTTGGAGGCCAGCTTTTATCTCAGCATGACTGATACCCTGATATTTTGCAATGTCACAATCTGTTCAAAACTGTGAGGAGTGCTCCATCCGTCTCACTTACCCAGGCCACAACCCTGCCGTTGAAGCAGGGCAGCTTGGCATTATCGTCGGATATTTCTTCTTTGACGACTCTGCGGGAGAAAACACAAGCTGTTAGAGACTCTGTGAGACCAGTACCCAGGACTTCACACCAGTGTTCCCATCTATTTGCAAAAGCTGAGGCATACTGAAAAGCATGTCACGCTCAAACAGCGGAATTTTCCACTTAGCTCTCAACTGCGGGCTGCTCATGATGAGAATGCTGAACGGCCCTGTTGACCGACCACTCTGTTGAAAACGACTTCGTTTTACAACCGGACCTCATTAGTACCTCATGCACATTCCACATAACCTACTAAAAGTGCTGCAAACAGTGGTTTAGTATAAATGCACATCTAGTATATCTCTAAGTGTGTGTGTTTATGAGTATTAAAACTCTGTAGGTGCATATATATTCAAGTGTGGGGCATATATGTGTGAAAGGTGCAGTAAGGGTGTCAGGGCACATTAGGTTATTAATAGAGAGAATGTGTGTGTTAGCAGAGTGTTCGTCCCAGGCTGTAAATTCCCTACATAAATACCACACAGTTACCCTTTAACCCTCTCAGTTGAGGTTCAGCAGTCACACACCTGCTCATCTTCTGTCAGTGTGTGCATGACAGGTCCATAAGTACACATACAAAGCACATGACATAAGACTCAAAGAAATCACTTAAGGGAGGTTTGATTTGCAGAATGACAAAACAGGATTACCAGGGATTAACAAGATATGTGCATCATATTGAAAAAGTTGTGAGATCGTTCAGATTTTCAGCAGATGATATAATAAATCGTTTGCAAATTTAAGGCTTTGAGAAGGGGTTTTAATGCTTGATATATGCAATCAAAAATGATCTAAAACAGTGGTGCCAAACTTAGTTCCCTTGGTGGCTCNANNGGCNCGATTCNNATTCCATTTTCGATTATGAATAATTAATTAATTAATGACCAATTAATTATTTGTAGCCTACCGTTTAAACTACCTGACCTGCATGGTCTTTGTTTTACCCATAAACAAATCATACAGTAAATGAATAAAGGTAAGATACACACATAATTACACCTGTCAATCACTTTTTCTGCAGGACTCGTGAATAGGCAGTGATCTGTGTCGTTATAATGGCGTCGGTAAAAAAGACGCACAACCAACAGGAACCAGCCAGCAGTATCTGAGGTGTTCGCTAAAATGACTAAGCATAAGTGAGTGAAAGATTGAAGCAGTCCTCTGACTGCCTGGACCTGCTGTCTCGAGCGCATGACTGTGTGTGCGTCTGTGTCTGTGTGTTCACGTGATGTGCATTTTCAGAGGTAGAGAGGAAGGAGGGCTGCTCAGAAATGCTACACGCCACTGTGGATGTCAAATCGTTGTCGTTCTAAAATGCCATTTAAAAACAAAGACAGTGTAAACAGGGCCTGAGTGTGTACTTTTCACGAGCGGATTTGCAACGGGGGCGGGCGGAGGATGTTGCCGGTGTTGTCTATCGGACGAACCGTACGTTATACGTACATAGCAGAGCTTGCAAAACTGTGTTTTTTTTGTCGACAACACGAACGTTGTCAACATAACTCACTGGAAATCCAAAATGCTTAAACACCGGCGACTTCATTGAGAGAGGAGAGGGTTTAAGCTCTGTCGACGGGTCTCCTGCTTCTGCAGTTTAACAAGCACTTCAACAAGCCTGTTTTTTCCCACTTGGCAAGCCAAGCTGACGTGACATGGGGGCGTGGCAGCATCCACGATTCTATTTTTTGATTCGATAATCGAAATTAAATTTCGATCGATTTCGATTAAAAATCCAAATCATGACACCCCTAATATATATATATATATATACACACACACACACAAACACAAGCACCTGTCAGTATTTGACTGTATTGTTGGTGTTTTTGTTATTGTTTTATTTTCCTTGTATTTGTATCATCTCAAATTGTGTACCTTTTGAATATTCTAATAAAAAAATAACAATTAAA